GTCAAAAATCAGGAAAGACCTTTTCCAACCCACCAAAGTCTCACGGCCATACCCGCGAAAGGGTCCGACCTTGACGAGAGGGAATCATCATCCCTAGAACAAGCCATGGGCAACAAAAGAAGGCCAAGGCCCTCAGAGTCCTCCCGTTTGAAAAAACCTCCGAAGGAGTATTCTACTCCTCCGTAGGCTCGAGGGCTACTGTCGGAGACCAATACTAGGGTACCCGAAGAGGAGGAGCTAATAACCATCAACATTGATTCGTCCGAGCAGTCAAGAGCGCGACTACAGCTCCAACTAACCCCTAGGTATGCAAACTCTGTCTCGCCCGATCCCAGAGGGTGGCTCCACCTTGCCCGGCACCGTGGCCACGGGCTCCGCCTCGCCCGACCCCTAAGGGTTGGCTCCGCCTCGCCCGACCTCTGGGGGTGGGCTCCGTCTCGCCCGACACCAAGGCCACGGGCTCCGTCTCGCCCGACCCCTAGGGTTGGCTCCGCCTCGCCTGTCACCGAGGCCGCGGGCTTCACCTCGCCCGACCCCTGAGGGTGGCTCCGCCTTGCCCGACCCTTGGGTTTGGGCTCCGCCTCGCCCGACCCTTGGGTTTGCGCTCTGCCTTGCCCAGCCTCTGAGGAGGAACTCCGCCTCGCCTGACCCCGAGGCCGGGGGCTCCGTCTCGCCCGACGGAGACCCCTACCGCCGCTAACCACTCTAGGTCCACGCGTATGGCCTGGGTCAAAGCTCTGACACCAGGGAGGTGACCGGCACGCCCCGATATAACCTGTGGCCGTGATGGGCCATACTTGAGGATTCACATCAGGAACAGCGTCGAGCGAACCGATGCTGTTCTGCCTAACCCTCGTACTAACACTGATAGACACGTCAGTTCGCCACGACGTCCGCTAGGACGGAGTGGAAGCGCCACGATCGGGAGACGACTCCTGCACATGGCACCAGTGATGAACAGGGCCACGACGTGAAGCTATCCCTGTTGACGTCTACAGGGTCGGCGGGACCCGCATAGAAGAGAAGAAGGACCCGGCGACCCTGAAGGGCTTCTTCTCCTTCTGATTCTCTTTTTCTCCCTCCGCTGTAACCCCTTCTTTCTCTTGGCCTATAAAAGGGTTAGGGGTCATCGAACCAACGATCGAAACACATCACACCGATTCGGACTCGAACCCCGAACCGATTAGAGCACACAAGCACACAGCCGAGCAACGACCGAGCTCTCGGCACCCGTTCACCCTTTCCATCCGAGACTTGGGACCTGTCCCTCTCTTGCCCGTTTGTAACCCCTACTACGAACTTTCAGTGCTAGTAACACGAGCAACAACGATGAATTGAACATAGGGACATTCTGTCCGAACCAGTATAAACTTCGTGTCCTCTTAGCACACCATCCGAGCCAGACGCAATATTAGAAATTTACTAGCCGGTGGCAACTCGAAACACCGACAGACACCCCATATAACATCCGACGTGACACCCCAAAACTTTACAGACTGGATCTAAACAAGGTCAATTCCAATGTCCACTATATACTCGGGATGTGTGTTTGAATTCTTCGTTTCGGAGGATGTAGGTTTTAGAGGGGGTGACGCTTTTGCTAATCTTTTACAAATCACAACATGAGCATATATATAGTCCAAGATAGGTGGCTAGAATGTAGTTTTTTGTCTGGGCTGTTGTTCAGGATCACAAGATGTCAGGTGTGGTATTAGAAGGTGGCTTAGCCCTTAAATTAATCGAGCATATCAACAGATGCATGTGAACTCATAGTCCTTTCTGTCCACCGAGGTTGGGTTAGGTTACGTTAACCTAATCATCCCTTGCTCTGATTAATCATCGGTGTGTGTTGCTGGCTGCAGTAGCAACTCCAACGGCTAAGCAAGGGTAAAAAAAAAAAGAGCATCCGTATTGCAGGAGCATGACTCTGGATACAAGAATCCATGAAGCCAAGTGCTGAACCGTCTGCCGTAGCAGAACCCTGTAATGTAACACTGGCAGCTTGGACCACATGGAACAAAGCCTAGGCCCAGTTTAGTTGCAAAATTTTTTGCAAAATGCAACTATAGCGTTTTTTCGTTGTTATTTAGCAATTAGTGTTCAATCATAGTCTAATTAGGCTTAAAAGACTCGTCTCGTGGATTTCGTCTAAACTGTGTAATTAGTTTTATTTTTTATTTATATTTAATGCTTCATGCATGCGTCCAAAGATTCGATGTGACGAGAAATCTTGAAAAATTTGGCAAAATTTTGGGGAATGGCCCCTAGTAACAGTATACTTGTCCGAAAATGAATGCTAGCGAAAAACATGTTTGGAATGGAACATGTGGATTTTGCAGCAAGGGATATGAATACAAGCTCAGCAAGCTGCTCTTGCACAAGACGGGAAAACTTGCCGAGCAGCGTGTGACCAGGCCACAGGCCACAGGCCACAGGCCACAGGAGTGACGCTGGCGCTGTTCGTTTCACTAAAATTTGGCTTATGTTATGCTTATGCTGATTTGTCGTGAGAGAAAAATATTTTTCGTTCGCTGAAAAGTACTGCTGAAGTAGTTCAAGCGAACGGGACCAGCTATTGCGCGAGCGATTGCGAAGTCGAGCGGGGAGCCGGAGCCACGGCTGACAGACACAACTATGCCATAGTATCCGCGGGAGGCGAAGCTACATTAAGACTATGGGGTGCAAATGCACCCTAAAAAATTATAAAAACAGTAATTAAGTCTAAAATTTCACCATGTATGTACCCTTCATGGAAGATGTCTATGCACCCGCAAGCTAAATGCACCACACTCTAATTTGCTATAACTTCACCACTGAGTAGCCGTATGGTATCTGCCACACGGATGCGGGCATCGTATAGATCACACGTCACAGCATTAGAAATCAGAATTTCAGATGCAAGAATCAGTCGGGGCGGTGGCGCCGCGCCGTGCGGTAGGCGGTAGGCCGGTTGCGGTACCATGGCATGGTGGATTGGTGGTCACGCACGCAGCGACGCATCGGCGATCGGCAGGGCAAAGCAGAGGAGGCCGGCGGCCGCGGCCGGGTCTGCGGAGCCTCTTTTCCGTGGCGCCATTCGCGCGGCTAGCTGGTCCAGCAGCGGATGCAGCAGTAGGCACTAGGCACTAGCGGTCCGGGAAGTTGCTCAGAGATTGACGCCAAAAGAATTTGACGTAGATGCCTGTCTTTTTGCGGCCACATACACACGCCTAGGCTACTGTTGTGCTGTGCAAAGTAAAGTAGGCTTTTTCTTGGATAGTTGGATGCAACAACATTTTTTGCTTTGCTTGGATTCCACACGCACGGCGCGGTCGTGCTCCGCGCCACGCAGCATCCCTCGCGTCCGCTTTCTCTTCGCAGTGGCTGTGTGTCTCAAGGATGAAGGTTCAGTGCTTTATTGGAAACCGTGAGGTGATGCAGGTGACGCTGGAGTGTCTTGCCGTTGACTGTTGCCCCTTCCCAGTTTCTGAGGTCACCGCATCTGATTGAATGACTTGTGATGCTTCCCAGTTTTTGAGGTCACCAACATCTGAAAGGAACTGTGCAGCACTGCAGCTTATGGTACAAAGCATACTAGTTTAACCTCACTGATCACTTCAATAGTCACGGGTTAGTCGCTCATAAAATTCACGTGACATCAAATGTTTAGATACTAATAAAGAGCATTAAATATAGATTAATTACAAAACCAATTACATAGATGAAGGCTAATTTGCGAGACGATTTTTAAACCTAATTAATCTATCATTAGCACATGTTTACTGTAGCATCACGTTGTCAAATCATGAACTAATTAGGCTTAAAAGATTCGTCTCACAAATTAGTCGCAAATTATATAATTAGTTTCGTAATTAGTCTATATTTAATACTCCATACATATGTCTAAACATTCAATGTGACAGAAATTTTAAGAGCGCTATAGAAACCAAACAGGCCATACTCTAGTGTAGTACAGGCCTGATGACAAAGTGTTGAGTGCGCCGTAAACTAATATCCTACTGCTCCAGTCAAAAAAGAATGTAATTATAGATTTAAATTGAAACAGACTTCCTTAAATTTGACTATATAGAAAATATCATCAATATTTACAACTCCAAACAGGTACTATAAAAAATACTATATTTTATAATTAATCTAATATAATGACACTTATTCAATATTATAAATGTTAAAACTGTGTGCCTCCTAAAAAACGAAAATTAGGCTGGGATTCTTTTAGGGCGTAGGCTGTCCCAAAAAATGTCGCTACGTGTCTGTGCTGGCAAGTTTTCTTAAATTGACTAGGTTTCTATAAAACATTATCAATATTTGAATCTTCAAATAAGTTTATTATAAAAACATATTCAACTATTCACCCGATTCATCTAATGATTATACATTATAAATATATTAATATTCTTATATATATTTGATCAAAGTTAATTCACCCAATTCATCTAATGATACTAATTATACATTATAAATATTAATATTTTTTATATATTTGATCAAAATTAAAAGTGTTTGATTTTCCACGAAGTGAAAATGACCCTTTTCATGTACAGGCCAGGCCGCCTAGCACAAGCAGTGCCAGTGATTCCTGACAAGCAAATGGGCAATGGTATATTCCTCTTGGTACAGAAATGGAATGTGGTTGGTGGCCACAACAGTGCGTCTAACTTTACAGTTTCAAGAATATGACATTGTGGCAGTGAGGACGACACCTTCCAACCTGAACTTTGCTTCGCTGACAAGTCAGGTTGAAAAGCATTGTTCGTTGATTTGTTTTGAAAAAAAAGATGTACCGTGATAAGTGATAAGTTCAAGCGAACAGGATAGTACAAACGACATATAAGCAATTTCAATATTTTAATCACTGTGGTAAAAGTAAAACTAACAATGACCATCGGTGATGACATCCATTGAAAAGCGGACGTCACCTGAAACGAAGGGTCCTGTCAGGTTACTTTGGTTTTCTGCAAATTGATTCTGATAATATGGGAGATATATAAGAATTGACGCTATGAGCCGCCTGAGGGTTGAACTGCTGCCCACCAAAAGCTAACCGAGAAACTGGTGGAGAGAGATCTGACGTAGTGCCACCATTTTGGAGGGATGTAAAGCAGGTCACCCTCCTCCAATATACAGTCCATGAATTCCAGGTTTTCAGCCCTTGGAAACTCCTTCAAATCAATGTTGTCAAGATCTACCTGCAAAACAACAGTGCATTCTGACTATATTGAGCAGAGCCCAACGAGATATAGAAATGAGAATTTATGTGGATACATGTACAATAAACTGTAGAAGAATAAGAGTGAGCAGTCCTGGAAAGTAACCACTGATTGGCTACAAAAAAAATTGTGTTCATATTAACCTAACTATCAGAGGTTGCTCAGAATACATACAAAATAGGAAAAAAAAACTCTGAAAAGTTCTGAGAAGCAAGATGAAGAAAATAATGACCGAGAGATTGGAAAGTGGAAACCTTTAATACATAAAACCATCAAAATGCACTAGGAAGTAGGTCCAGTCTGCAATACAAATTATGCAATATAGAGTCGCGAAGAGAGTATTGACAATCAAAATCTGGAAATTCGTTATTTCAAACACTTAGCTGCCAAAACTGCATGCAACATCATGACGATCCACAATGGTAATTCCGTATATTTGCTTGGAAATATACAACTACCGGAATAGATATATATACCTGACTGGTATTGCATAGCATAGTCTCTGTGTGTGGATACAAGTCCTCAGATATAAAAGCAGGATAGAGTCTAATATACTTCCTGCCCAAAACCTGTAAAAATATGTGTCAACCATTGCTGATAAAATTTAAGGAACAGATGACATTGTCAGAAAATTTTAAGTAGAACGATGGATACAGGCAGTTTTATAGGACGACGATTAGACCTACTATGTTGTTTGGTGCAGAATGTTGGCCTACGAAAAGACGACATGTTCAATAGATAAGTGTCGCGGAAATGCGTATGTTGCGTTGGATTTGCGGTCATACAAGAAGGGATCAAGTTCGGAACGATGATATACGTGATAGATCAGGGGTAGCACCAATTGAAGAAAAGCTTGTCCAATACCGGTTGAGATGGTTTGGACATGTCCAACGGAGACCTCCAGAGGCACCGGTGCGTAGTGGAATCCTAAGCCAGGATAGTAACGTGAAGAGAGGCAGAGGAAGACCGAAGTTGACTTGGGTAAAGGCAATAAAAGGAGACTTGAAAGGATGGAATATACCCAAAGACTTAGCCTTAGATAGGAGTGCTTGGAAAACAGCTATTCACGTGCCTGAACCTTGATTGCTTCTGCTGGGTTTCAACTCTAGCCTACCCCAACTTGTTTGGGACTTAAAGGCTTTGTTGTTGTTGTTGTTGTTGTTGTTGATGGATACAGGCAGTAAACAGCAAAAGCCATCTGCCAAGATCTTTAACTGATATATTAATTGACTGTAAGCAGCCATTATGACCAACTTAATAATCTATTTTTATGAGCCCTCATAGATGTCACATTGAGATAACATCTAATTCAAATTCACAAAAGATCAAATTGGTACAGCTACTACTATACTAACTGAGAACTAAAATAAAGCAGAGTTCACTTGTTAACATAGTCAGATAACAGATCAGTAGAACACTGCCATGTTATAATATTTTTTTAACAAAACAAAGTTAATGATTGGAGATATCTCCTTGCAAAACTACAGCTTCAAAATTTAACATTTGCTCATAGCACAAATTCTAAGTTACGGGTACACCAACAAGTTAAATACACACGTGTTTTACCTGAGCGAAGATGTTGTGATGTGGGTCATGATGCAATGGTGTCACTGTCCACTGTGGACCAAACCAAGCATTAAGTGATTGGAGTTCACCTCCACCAGCATAACAGTATTCGGGAACAATTATGTCTTCACTGAGCTCTTTTATCTGCCCAATCCAATGAAGTAAAATGCACAACTGAACAAAGGCAATCTACTGAGAATCAACATTGAAAAATCAGCTACCTGCTCAAATAATGGATGCTGAGCTAGATATGTCAACTTTGATGGGCAGACAGTTGACCACATTCTATCCAGGAACTGAGAAAATGTGACAAGCTCCTGCTTCCACTCACTACACACATAGTTTTTTCCAACCTGACAAGAAACAACTTCATAAGTGGATCAAGAATTATCATAATGCAAAACGAAAAATGCTGCTCAGTATATTCTTCAGCTAACGAGCGGTCCTAAATCAATACAAAACAACAATCTGTTACAAAATTCAAGAGCATGTGGTGCTCGGAGTTGAAATATCTCTGTTTTGCAGTTTAACAAGTAGCATGTCTGTCATTTGGATATTGCATTAATGAACTACACAGCTTTGAGACTCGACCCACATTTTTTTGAAGTGTGGTTCCATTGTATGCAACAGCTAGATACTTAATATGGTTAAAGAAAGAGAGCAATATATACTAATAGTAAAGTAAAGCTAATTGAACATGTTGAAATGACATGATATCACATTACCGAATTCTTTCAGCATAATAAGTATTTACAGCTAGAGTTTTAATAACATGGTGTTGAGACTGAAATGTATACACGAAGAGGGCAGTTTAGGAATTGAGCCTATTTCAGTTAGTGAGAGGTTTGCATGTACATTAGCTCGAATTTGGGTGCCTATTTCTTCTCATTTACAACACCACCTAGTTCCTCCTAGGTTAGTAAACTTCTTTTCGAAAAGAGCAATATAAAAGAGTTCCAATTTACCTAGTATTTCGACTGCCAAGGCAAAAGATCAATGTTACACACCTGAATATTAGTACAACCAAGACAAAATACTGTTACTTATTGCTACTTAGACTGATTGAGATAAAATGTCAATTTAAATACCTTATACAAACAATGAAACAAGTAATATTTAAAGACACTTATTTACTTTATATTTATTAGCTTAAAAGAGAAAGGGCGTTGAAACGAGCTGTAATTCTACTATTTATTTCCTTGATCTTTATATTCATTTGTGAAGCTAAAAAATGGCAAACACATACTCAAAGTGACACAGGAATTAAGTTAATGGAATAGAAAAGCCTGTTTCCAAAGTCTTTGAATGTTTAGTGTAAAGAGAAGCATTTACTTCAACAGGAACAGTACGATCTCCAGCGATCTTCTTGAGGTATTTAATGTCCTTCCATTTTGTCCTTGCAGGCCAATGATCGATGGCGCCACTAATTATGACGGGGGAGTCGCGTAAAAAGTAATTACATATAAACTCCTCCAAGGAGATGCATGATCGCCTCTCAACTTTCTTACAGGATAAAGAGTTCGCTGGAAGAACTTTGAGTGCCTGAAACAAATTATTGTTAACAAGTGCAAGATGCGGAACAAGAAATGAAATGCAGGTTTTTCTATCAGCACAACTTCAGGGAAAAAAAACTAAGCATTCATTTAACTAGAGGTGATATTTCATTTTGTTCGAATAGATATTTCCATTCAATGCATACAATACAAACTGCAATTATCTTTCTATGAAGAACAGTGTAGAAATTTGAGTTACCCACAGTACTGCCCCTAATAATTTATGACATGATTCACCCACAGCTATGCCAAAAACAATCAGAATGTAACCTCTCATTTCCAACTCATTCTACGATAATATTGCTTGATTCGTCTAGTTACACTGGGGTTTTCAAGGAATCAAGCCCATCCAGTACTCTAAGCAAACCCAATTTCATCCCCAATGTTGTAGCTCACGGGTGCTAAGCCTAGTCATACACTAAGCAAATAGTTTTAAAAAGGGCGTACCCGCAGAGAGCTGTGCGGGGTCTGAGGAAGGGTGTCAGTGGCAAGCCTTACCCTCGCCTGTGCAATGCGAGGAGACCGCGACTCGAACCCAGGACCTTCCGGTCACAAGCGGTAAGACTTTACAGCTTGCACCAGGCCCGCCCTTCCTACACTAAGCAAATAGTTTTAAAAATGGAAAAAAATAATCATACTTCAGCAAGCCCCTAAAATTTCAGCGCAGTTCTTGTGCACGTTGTCTGGTAAGCACAGAAACAAACACGAACTCTTACGAAGGCAATAGCGATCTCACATCAGCGATGTCTCTGTTCCTGTCGAGCGCCTCCCTCCACCTCTGGTCCTCCTCATCCACGACCCCCGCGCAACCTTCGCTTCCGCCGCACGCTTCCGCGGAGATGCGCGCCAGGGCCGCCTCGAGGTCGGCGCGCAGTAGGTTGCCCCCCATGATGAGCCCCATGTCGAGCGCCCGGAGCGCGGCGGAGCGGTCGCCGTCCCCGCCCCCGCCTCTGGCCCCGCAGCGGGTGCGGAGCCGCGCGACGTGGAGGCAGGCGAGCGCGTAGGCGTCCCTCCAGGCGGTGCCGACCTCGCTCCAGGGGCCCGAGTGGAGCTGCTCCCACGCCATCTCCCGCGCCGCCTCCGCCGCGCGCAGGTCCCCCGCCCCCGCCTTCTCCGCCGAGGCGACGAAAGCGAACCCGCCCTCCCCCGTTATCTCCCGCAGCAGCGCTGACACCCGCTCAGCCTCGCCGTCGCCGGCGGCGGCCATCAGGGAAGAGCGGCGTGGTGCGCTGGTGCTGCTGGGGTGCGGGGGGAGGAGAAAAAGCGCAAAAGCGCAGGAGCGGCGGAGATATTTCTGGCCCTCGTTGCTCTGCTCCGGATGCGCGTGCGTTTCACTCTTTTGGCCGCAAATGATGCAGGCGAAACCTTCCCCATTTGGTGTAACCGTGATTTCCATTTCCCCATTGGAGACCGCCTTCGGCTATTTCGCGATTATGAGGCCTTCAGGGTTGGGTTGGGATATGGTTGGGCTGATTTGAGGCCCATTGTCCAGCCTTGATGGCCAACGATGGGCTGATTGATGCTTGGGCCAAACACTTCTGATGGAATTGGGATCGGGCCCGTGAGGACTGAAAGATTTTAGACACATTTGAGTATGCACACAGCACAAGATAGGCTGCTGAAAAAGGTGCAGAGGAGGGTCTGCCAAGGCGGGCTTCTAAGAGGAGTGCCACCAGGAACAATAAGTCGCCTAAGCTGAAATTGTCATGGCTTGGACAACTCCGCGACGGTCAAAGAGCTTCGCAATTTGGCGAAGAAGGTTGCCCTCACCTGTGCTGTTTATCCAAGAAACTCAAGTTTATAAATCACGGGTGGGGAATCTTAGAGAAACATTTGGTTTTGATAATGCTTCTGCTGTAAGCAGTAGTGGCCACAGTGGTGACATTGATATATATCTTTTGGAATATAATACGACTAAAGTCGATATTTTGTCGTACACCCTGTATCATATAGACATAATTATTACAGAGGGAGGATGTGAGCCATATTGGTTTTGATGAAACGATATGTACCTTGTTCTTGTTTGCTTGTTGGTTTCAGCCAGGCTTATTCAACCAACCAATAATAGTGTTTTCTTCTCACAACGAATCAGCACCAGCCAACCCAAACCAGCCCAGAAACCAACCAGCGAGCACGCCGATGGGCTCAGTGCAGGTTCCACCCTTTTTCCAAGACCTTGGAAACGTTGCCCAAACGTTTCATCGCGATGAAACTATTACCACCTCTTTCCTTATAAATACATGTCAAGTCATCAAATTAGTTGATATAGCACTTCATTTAATGTCTATGAAACTCCCATTAAATTGCCATTGAGACTAGCCTTATGTGGGAGTCTCATGCTAACTTTTTGTCTATGCTCAACCGGACGTGGCAGGAAGGAATTAAGGCCGGAACTTTGAAGGTGCTTCATGCAGAAGTTCAAATGATTAGATATGCCGCCATAATATGTTGACTCTCAACCTCCACAGACTTTCATGCCTACTTAACTAGTCTCACTATGTACTTGGATTGATCATAGCTGACGAGAAAGGGTGTTGATACCTTAATTACATGTGCCTAAATTTTTTCAAACTTCAAGGAACCATATTATGAACCACATGATGATCATGATGGAATGGTTGAAATGTTTCCTCGACACCTCTAATTCTTAGTTCTATTGTATCCCCTATGGTGTGTTCTTGCCTCCGCCTCGTGTCGGTCTATGTCCACCCTATGCAGCTTCTTGACCGCCATAGATCCCATCTTTCTAGTCTGGCAAACTGCTATTTTTGCCATCACACTTCCCATATAGAGCTCCCCTCCCTCCTCCTACACCCCACCCACCAAAAAAGAAAAGAAAAAAGCCTCCTCCCTAAGTCGAGACTCCAATTTTACCCGTAGCCCTAGAAATCATAACCATTGAATCCTGAATTCTCAGTACTTAACAACTCCGTTGGCGGTGTTGTGTGTTCTTCCATTCCTAAAATCTCTGCGGATATTTCACAAGGCATTCGAAGAATAAGAGATGTGCACGCTGAACTTCTTTTTTTTTCGAACACGCATTCACGTGAATTTCATTAAGAAGAAGCAAGTGTGCCGAAGGAACGGCGTACACGACGCGACTATGGGAGAACCCATAGCGCATGATACAAAACCACAGAGCAAATGGTTTAGAACGAAAAACACAAGTGAAAGCAAGAAGTGCGACAAGGGAAGGGGCCTCCACCACACCCTAGCTAGCTGGTCCTGCAACTAAAGATAACGACGCGAAGGCTGCCGACAAGGGAGGTGAAGCCTCGGTGACAAAGCATCCACCAAAAAGAACGTGGCGAAATCCGCAAGCACAACGCGGCAAAGCATTCGCGGGCTGGTAGCGACTATCGTGGCAAAGCATCCGCCCAGGCAGCAATGACGGCAAAGCATCCGTCGAGTATCCGCAAGCGGCCAGGTGGCCGCTGCGAAGAAGATGACCAACGATGGCAAAGCATCCGTCGAGACGACTGCAGCAACACCAACATCCAAGGTGGATAGATCAACGTGAAGAGGAAGCTAAAGCATAGGCTGGAACATCACAGCTATGAGCGGCTCCGGCGAGAGGAATAAGACAGCAGCAGAAGTGCTCCAACGAAGCAACTGCGGCAACACAAGCAAGGAGCGGCTCGGAACCAACGAATGGCGCGGTGGGAACAAGCAGAGTGCATCAACGAAGCCTTCAAGAATGTGATGACGTCCGCGGACGCCAACTTCATTGTGAGGATCACCCAAAAGGAACTTTCGTCCCCAAACGTGCCCCAGCTACCTCCAACGCCTCCAAGAAGGTGATGACGTTGGCGCGCCTTCATCGTCAGCCCAAGGCACGAAGCCTGGTGGGGTTTTCACCCCTGTCCACCATCGGCCCCAGTTGCCATCGAAGAGTAGCAGGCCGGCCCGACCAAGAGCAGCTGTTGAAGAGGAGTCCAACACCGCCCCCCGGTCGCTCGGTAGGTTCGCCGTCGCCCGCCGCCAAGGGTCCAGGACACCTCCAAACGACATATGCAGTCGAGGGCCCTAGATCCGGCCAATAGCCATCGGGCAACGCTGTAGGTGAGGCCGCCCCTACCACAGTCCACCGCCGAGGGAATCCGACCACCGGCTCGCCAGATCAAGCCCCAGGAGGGGTGAATCCGGCCACCATAGATGGAGAGGGTGGTGCCACCACCGCCCTGGTAGCCACCCGGGCCGACAGCCGGTGTAGGCCTACCCAGCCTCATTCCATCGTCGGGGAGGAGGGCCGGCCACCGACGCACCAGATCCAACCCTAGGGGGCGGATTTGGCCAGCCGCCGCCGCACCCCGCCGGAGGAGGGTGGAGGGGGGTGATGACCGCTGCCACCCTACAGTCACTCGGCCTGGCACAGCCCCTTCCCAACGCCAAGGGAGGAGTGTCGGCCACCGGTGTGCCAGATCCGGCCCCAGGGGGGCGGATCCGGCCGGCCACTGCCGTTCCTTGCCAGAGGTGGAGAGGGTGGAGGGGGGAAGGTAAAGGATCGAAGGTGAGGGAGAGGGAGGTGCGAATGGAACACCTTTGTTCGGGTCTACCGCTGGCCACCGCCACCGCGCACTAGAGGGCGGCGACGACGACCGGAGAGGAGGCCGAGAGGGGGGCGCACTTTGTAACACCCTTGGTGTTACATTGTACAATCTTTTGCTAAAACACTGCATATCATCATATTTATGTGTAAATGTATGTAATATAGGGTGTAAATTAATGTACGTAATTTAAAACGACCAACGGAAATGCTTAACGAAAGGTCATTCGTGAAGTATAAAATTTTCAAGTACGGATGTTCGCGAATTTTTATTGAACGAAAACACTATGGAATGTATATATGGAACTTTAGTAGAGTTGGAAGTATGAGCTTTGTAGATGGCGATGAAATACCTGCGGTCGAGAAAGGGATTCACTAGCTAGCATACCTAATAGCTTGCAAATCAAATTTGACGCAAATCCGATCAAGACTTAGTCGATTTCGTAAGTCTGAAAAGTGGTTTTGACAAAGCTATGTTTGATATTTTTTGTAGGAGAATTGGATTAAGTAGTGAGGTGGTTTCATGACTTGTTTTAGTAGCTTGTTATGCCCTCTTAGGAATTGCATAGGTGGTTTGGCGATTAGATCAACGTTTTGGGGTTTTTTCGAACGCTTTAAAAATCGTGCGCATGACGTTCCGGCCGTTTTTATCGTGTGGACGCGGTCACCATTGCCCCTATGCCGTCGGCGGTGCGCCGCCGTGCACGCGCGTGTCTGGCCGTGCGCGGGCTGGTCACGGTGGCTGGCCTCCCGGGCGTGTAGCTGCTCCTCCCCACTGCCACGACGTGCGTTGCTGTCAACGTCGTTGCTGGTGCCCTTGGGGCCGCCCGCGTCGTGCCATTGTCGGCTTTGCTCTACCAGACGCCGTCGTCGTCCGCTTGGGTGCGTGGCATAGCATGGCCACAACCGTCGTCGCTAGCACGCGCACGTTGCCCCTGCATCGCGTTGTCACATCGCGTGCGCCCACGCCGCTTGCGTCGCATCGCCACTGCCGCTGCTGCGCGCGCCTGTTGCACTGGCACATGGCCGTGTCGCCGTTGGCTTGCCAATTAAGGCGCTGCAGCCGCACGAGCTATGCCGACTCGTACGTGCACGTGTAACCTTCCCTATGTGCCCTTATCCATTTCTTTTGAGTGGCGTGCACCACTCTGCGTTCCCCCGGTCACCTCCGCCTTTAATGGCGTCGCGCCGGCATCACCGAGCCGTGCCAAGGCCAGCTCGCAGCGCCGGTCTAATTCGAGCAATTGCGCACGCCAGAAGCGCAATTGGGAACCTAGCTACAGCGCTAAGCTCACCCACTACTGCAGCCACACCGTGTCGAGCTTCAATTTGGAGATTCCTCGTCGTCGGCCATCTTAAGACCAAACGGCAGCGCCCGTCCAATTCACCTTGCACCGTCCACCCCATTTTCACCGCCACTGCCTTCTTGGTGCCGCTGACACGATCGCGCCACCGCTGTCCGCCGTGAGTTTTGCCGTGTGCGCATGGCCGAACTCACCGGTCCGTCCCACGTCAAGTCACCACGTCTGGTAGGTTCTGGGTGAGTTGCTGATGCCCATTCTTGAGTTCGTGTACGTTGTTTGTGCTTTGGCTCATGGGAACATGGCCACCGCCATAGGGAGGAGTTCGCCGCCATGGAGAGAGCTCAGGACCGCATCTCCGTTCACCGATTCACCGCCCACCGCTTCGCGTTCGTATCTAGGTGAGCATCGGCCGCTATCGGGGGCGGGGAGGGGCTAGGCTGGCCGGCGTGACCACCCAGTGCCGTCACCGCCGCGCCGGTGCGCGCGCGGGTGCCCGAGGGTCTGGCCGTTGTGAAGATGGTTTATTCCGAGGGTTAAATCGCTTAAGTCCAGACTATGGGAATATTACTACAGACCTCAGGGTGAATCACCGGTAGCGCGAGGACGTTTCCGCAATTGTGCCAACATGCGCGGGCCTTCCCGTCGTCACGTGGTTGGGCCGTGTCCACGTGGGCCGCACTGGGGGATCACGCGTGCGTGCGCGCTGCGCGTGCGTGGGCTGCGTCGATCGCTCGTGGGCCACGCGGGTCGATTTTGGTTTTCCTTTTTCCAGGTCTTAGTAAATGTTTATTCAATTTAGTTTTGAGCTGATCTTTGAAAAATTATAGTAAATGTTGTAGGTGTTAAAAATAGTGAAACAAAATTTTTTAGGTTCACAAAAATGTTATCTATCTGTTGGTGTAGTTAGTTTAGAGTTATCTGTGATAATGATAGAATCATTAATTCGTTTAGGAACACTTAGCATTATTTAGCTTAATATTCGTAGAAATTTTTGTGGCAAATTGGTAATAGATTTAGCCATGAAATCTTTACAGTAGGCTCATTAAATTATTATATGTTCACTGTAATTTTTGTAGCCTTAGAGTAGGTTGATAAATAGAGTAGCTAGTACTCCTTGTTTTATCATATATAGAGTAAATCGATATTAAGAATAGGGATTCCTTTAGTTGCTAAGTTAATATATGAAATATTTCATACATGTTTAGTGGGAATGATAGCTAACGTAGCGTCTTAGTCGGTAGAGCTAGTTTAGTAGCTTGACAGGTGTATTTTATTTTAAAAGTTGTTGTTGACGTATTACTAAGTGTTGCATCATTATTTTATGCATGTAGATAACAAGTTGGTAGAGTTCGTGCCTGCGGACGACCAGGAGTATGAGAAGATCATTGAGGAGTGTGAAGAGGGGATTCTCGTACAGGATGGAGCCCTAGAGCCATCAGTTGCTGATTTTGTTGACACCCCGCCTGTCCAAGGCAAGCCCTGGTGCATAACCCTTATTTTTGAATGATCACTGAAGATATATATGATGCTCATTTACGTTACATGCATTTTATGAAAACTACATACATAGATATACCTACCTATGAGTCCTACTAGCATAGGTCGAGTAGTTGCTATGCTTAGGATTTTCGATAACGTGAGTAACATGTCGTTATTCACAATAGGTGATTATTATGATCACTCATGATAAAATGATAAAAGGGGAAATGGAGACCGGGCGGGGATATGGTTTGGGTATCGGTGGACGTAAGAGGTTGTGTCCTGCGGTCAACAGGGCATAGCCTGATTACATTATTTTCCTGTCTTTGTCGGTTAAGGATCGGCCGTTGCATTGGGTTCTAATCAAGTCACAGACTTATTATCCCGGGCACATACCTGTGTATGGGTGCAGAGAAGACTTGTTGCTCTCTTATCGTGGGTTCCGGCTCTTTCCGGACCGACTGATTGGGGACGGAGATCGTAGAGGTCTAAGCATCGCACTGAGTCAGGGACTCAGGAGCGGGGCTTAGAGTCTAAGTTTGGACAGGGACCTGGACCCCGTGATAGAAGAGTGGTGGGTTGGTCATGTTTGTGCCTGGGGTACAAGCGGGACGTATGTTTTGGGGTACACAGCTGGGCACATTGATTCGCGAATCGCCAGGCGATCCGAATATGGTTTGTCTACAGTCTAGCACCGCAGTAAGAACTGAAAGAGGAAAGGTGGTGAAATAAAACTGTTTGCTCAACTCTTGCTTGAAAGTAGAACAGGTGCTTACATAGAATGGTTAGATAAGGAACTAATCATGACTGCTAATAATAACATAAATAATGATTCACTATTAGTATTGCTTTCTATAAAAAGGAAACCCAGTAAACCATAAAGCTTATCATATCCCTTGGAGTTGGAAAATTATTCCCACTAGTCGGATAAATTTTGCGAGTATATTATGTACTCAGGGTTGATTTACCCATGTTGCAGGTACTGCTTGAGGAATAGCCGTTGTGTGAAGGATTCTTCTGGTGGGCATAGACGGATCCTTGTATATTATCGATTTTTTTTCATTCCGCTGTTAAATTTCCACACTCTGAATTTGGTACTGTAATAATATATTTCTGAGAATTCTGGATGCATGAAATGGACTAAGTTATGTAAACTCGTTCTCATTATTGGATCATACGGAAAAATGTGGATGATTCGGGCTCTCCCTTAGGGTGTGCTCGACGGAATCCGCCTGATGTAGTTCTCTCTCGGGTGTTTAGTGTCTGGTGAAAGACGAATGTCTCCGTAAGTGCGTTATTTCGGTGGTTCCGCCACACGCTTGATGGCGGCGAGGTCTCCCCCGAGCCGCCCTGCTGAGGGCGCTCGGGGGGAGTCGGGAGAACAGGTGGTTCCCTTCTATTCACGTTGAACTTCTTCTCCTTCACCTAAATGGCAAGAAGATAACTTACAGCCTGCTCGGTTGGTTGGTATCATCGTTGCTGGTTCGTAAAGAAGTACTGCTGACTAGTTTGTGTGAGAGAAAAATACTGTTCCGGCTAGAAATTTACGATCGTTTACGACAAGCCACAGGTAAATGAACAGACCGTTAGATAAGGGTTGGGTAAAGGAGTACATTAGCAGTTCCCATTTGCACGGTGTCTACCTAGATTCTCGCGTTGTGCCCAGCATCGACCCGCGGTGACACTAGTTACGACACTTGCCTAAAACCCCACATCTCCAACTCCAAATCATGACACGATGAAGCATACGCGCGCATCCGGTGATCATGAGATAACTAATTTAGAACGTCATCTCAATCAGCCGCGTCGTCGACTGTGTGCAGCACAGCAGCAGCCGAGCGATAGATCGCGATCGAACGATCACGTACACCTAGCTATATATAGCTACAAGCAACCAACGACAGTCGTCGTCGCTAAGATTAACATCATCCTTTGGTTGATTCCTCGACCTCACTAGCTCTCTCCCACTGCCCTAGCTGGCTACTACCTGCAAGTTCTATTCTTGTCTGGTCTGTTCCTTGAACTGATGACGAAAACGACGACGAACACACCATGCATGCATGCGTCCATGCATGACTCATACATGCATGGATGATGGACATGCGTGCGGCGCGCGGTCATCAGCGCCGCCGCCGCAGATTGACGACGACGCCGCCACTAGCTGTGGCCCTGCTGCTGCTCCTGCGGCGCCCTGGGACGTGTGACCCAGAGCGAGCTCAGCGTGCGGAGGCGGTGGAAGTAGTCCGACACGGCCAGCAGCGACCGCGCCATCTGCCGCGTCGTCAGGATCTGGTGCAGCCGGTGCAGTGTCTGCTGCCGAAGGTTCTCAGCCTGCGTCATGCATCCATGATGTTCATCAGAATGAAGCTGATAGTAGATAGTTAATTAACTCAAATAAAACAAACACCACACACACAAGGCTACAACAAATTAAATGATTAGGGACAGATCATATATATCATTATTGTCAGTACTGCCTGACGTTTTGCCATCGTCACACACGAATCAGCCAGCACTATTTGCAGTGGCCTAATTAACTAACACAGTCCACGCACGTAACTAGTATGAGGGCCGGGCCATGGACATATATATATATGTATATCCATTGATCAACTCTGTTTCTGGCAGCCATGGGCAGGTGAAGCCGGCCTAAACAATGTCGGCATCAAGGTTACCTACCCAACATGGAAAGCTGAATGAGCAAGCAAAGGGTTGCTGGCACTGTCTTATATGTATCCTCCCACAACGATGTGTTCAATATGTTAGCCCTGGAAATTGTACAATAGTGTTGGCTCTCCAATTTTGGGATGGCGACAGTTCGGTGCTTTTTAGTAGTAATGTTATATTCACAACCTAATCCGTGCGTCTGCTCTGCCGGCCTGCACCTGGCGTGGATGCTCAATGTATCTAAACCACTGTTTAGTCTGACTAAAGAACTGCACTGTCGATCTCAAATAATTAGGTAAACCATCCTAGCTATCCAATGTACCTTGCTTCAACTAACGATAGATTATGGAGTGCTACTATATAAAATGCTTGATAAATCTTTGTTTTAGTTGCAGCTATAACTAACCCATTACAGCGACAGCGAATTAGGGGATGTTTGGCTCCTCCTTCTAAACTTTAGTCGCTGTACCATCGGATGTTTGGACACATGCATAAAGTATTAAATATAGGCTAATTACGAAACTAATTGCACAGTTTGCGACTAATTTACAAGACGAATCTTTTAAGCATAATTAGCCCATGATTTAACAACGCGGTGCTACAGTAAACATATGCTAATGACGGATTAATTAGGCTTACTAAATTCGTCTCGTGAGAGTACTGACGGATTCTGTAATTTATTTTTTATTAGCATCCGAACACCACATACGACACCCTCATATGACACCTCCTAAATTTAGTCGCTGGATCAAACACCCCCTTAGCCGGAAAGAGCAGTGATGCTGAAGCAAGCAATACAAGTTATATGAGCAACAACTGAAACGACCAGTACTTTGTACTTACTTGTCTGACGAAGCCCTCGAGCGTGGAGAGCTTGTTCATGGCGGCGGCCATCTGGCCCATGTAGTTGGCGACGTTGGAGGGGCAGCTGAGCGCGTCGGAGACGACGGTGTCGGACAGCGACTGGTAGAGCGCCTCCAGGCCCTGGCTCAGAGCCTCCTCAGTCTCCAGCGCCGACTGCTGCAGCCCGTACACGCCCACGATCTGCTGCTCCGTCAGGGGCTCCACGTGGCTCAGCAGCATCTGTATATATATATATATACGTGCAATTACTTTAATTAAGCATCTAAACGACATGCTCACATGCATGATATATGCAGCAGTCCATACGTGACCTGGGCCATGTATATGTACGCACTCATTATGCAGATGTGATGGAACGATAATGAGCCGATCGAATGTACTACCTCCATAAAAAAAATGCAATTCTAGTTCTATAACTTCAGTCATTAAAGTTCGACCAATTTTATTTAAAACATCAATATTTATGGCACTAAATAAGTATACCGTAAAAACACATTCCATAGCGAATTCAATAATTATATTTATTTAATACCATAAACATTGATTTTTTTATAAATTTAGTCAAACTTATAATAGTTTGACTTAGTACTATGTCATAATTGAATTTTTTTCAATGGGGTGGTGGGTGAGTCGGGAGTATGCTGCATGGAGCAGTCACTCCAAATAGGTCAATAACATAATATATAAGACAAAAGGGTATTATATATGTTAGCTCACATGCACTTATTTATGATACCAAATAAGTATAGCTAAATCTATCATTTATGTTTAGCTCATTAATCATAAATGTTGACAATCTTCTCAATTACCTGGTCAAAGTTATATAGTTTGACTTACTCCCTCTTACCAAAATAATTGCACAGCTAACATCTCGTTTTTCAAAGAGACAAAAATTTTAAAGTTTGACCAAATATATAAATAATATGAATATTTTATGGTGTGTGATAAGTACCATTAGAATAATAGTTGAATATATTTTTCATAAATAAACAAATCGGGAGATATAAATGTGATTATATTTTTCTTATAAGCCTAGTTAAATTAGAAAAAAAACTGACTTGAAAAGCGAGAAGTGCGGTTATTTTAGGACAAAGCGAGTATATCACAGTTAGAACATTATGTTCTTTTAGACAAATGTACATAATATATAACAATATGTTAGAGAGGGGGAAACAACATAAAGGAGGGAAGAAAGAAATTTTAAAATTTGTTCAATTCAACATTGATGAGAAATTAATATGGATCTAGAAAGTGTTTAGGAGGTGGAGGTTGGATGCAATGACACGTCAAATTAATATGGGTAAATTTATTTTAGAACATCTTTCAATGTTGGTATTTGCTATTGGACACTACTCAATATTGTTTTTACTTAGAAAACACTCTTCAATTGTAGCAATTGGCTCCTATACATTAAGGCTATTAAAATAATATTTTTAGAGTGAATAGGAGAGAAGTTAAAAGTGACCATTATGCCCCTAACTATTATTCCACAACCATTAATAGCTATCAGAAAACTTTATAAGTTTTGCACATGAAGTTTAATGAAAACATACTTTATATCAAAATTATAGAGCTCAATGAGATGTATACCTTTCACTCTAAATTATAAGACGGTTTACTTTTTTTTAGATACTTTGCTTTTACTATGTATCGAGACAAAATGTATATCTACGTACATAGCAAAAGTTATGCATATAGAGAAAAATCAAAACATCTTATAATTTAGAATTGAGGAAGTAGAACTTTGTAGTTAACAAGTTTTTTATTTAAAATTATTTATTACATCAAAAACTTGTTTTAAATTCTCATATTTTTCAATTCAAAATTTTAATTTTTTGAATGACGTTAGATGTTGATGTGGTCTATACAAAATTATTTAGAGGGCAAAAAAATTGAATTTCAACTACAAAACTCTAGATTGTAAGTGCAACTTTTGTATAGACCTTGTCAACATCTGAGGCTGTTCAAAAATTTTAAATTTTTAAATTTCAAAATCTGAGAATTTAAAAGAATTTTTGGGATTTTAAAATTTTAAAATAAGAAACTTGTCTGTTATAAAGATGTAGATCTTACTGAGCTCTACAACTGTAATAAAGTTATGAATTTTTAGATAACTATTAAGGGTTGTGGTATAATAGTCAGGTGCATAGGGTCACTTTTAACTTCTCTCGCATCCACTCCTAGATATTATTTTAATAGATATAGTGTCAAGGTGTCAATTGTCACAATTAAAGAGTTTTTCTAGCAAAGAAAGTACTGTCCATACTCCATAAGCGAATATCAACATTAAAAGATCACTCAAAACAGTCATCAATAACAGAAATTGAAATCAGGTCTGGCCTTTCTCTGAAATTAAAGCCAATCAGACCCATAAGTGCCTTGCATGGGAGTGGAATTCTACTTTCAGCAGCCATGGCCTAAAATCAGCCCCATTTCCACAAATAGGAGAAAGACAGAACGGCAGTTTCTCGTCTCCGCCTTCAATATGCCCGTGGATTTCACACCTACTACTACTATACTAGGCCCTCGTTTATTTTCCACCATAAAACTTTACACCATATCACATCGAATATTGGACACATGCATAGAGTATTAAATATAGACTAAAAAATAATTAATTACACAGTTTACGACTAATTGGCGAGACAAATCTTTTAAGGCTAACTAGTCCATAATTTGACAATAAAGTGCTATAGTAACACATATTGTAATGACGAATTAATTAGGCTTAATAAATTCGTCTCGTGGTTTACCGACGGATTTTGTAATTTTATTTTTTTATTAATATCCAAACACTTCCATACGATACCCATATATTATCTGATGTGACATCCTTAAACTTTACATGCTGAATCTAAACGAGGCCTGGGTCGTCCAGATCGAGTTGCATAGCACCATGTGCGCATTGCATGCGCTGCGTATATGTCGGGGCATGCCTGCAGCCCTGCACGGCGCTCGATCGACGGAGATTTGACGAGGGCCCCGGCCGCTTCAATGCCGCGCGCGGAGATCGCCCGGGCGCCCCGGTTGGCAGCTGGGGAAGCTTTCATGAGCGCCGCCGGCGAGAAGGCAAGACTGCCACTGCCATTATCGGCAGCGGTACCCCGCTGGGGAGGAGGATTTCGGCTGCTGTCACCCCGCTGCGGGAACGAACGCTCATGATTTGCTTCTACTTTCAACCGCTGCACAGGTTGCTATTGCTACATCGGAGCTGGGGCATATATACGTACCAACTCCTCTCACACGGCTTCAATGCTACCGCGGGATCATGTTCAAGATGTCTGGGGCATTTTGTTTCTTTTTTTCGTGCACGTTTATGTGTGTCACAAATTCACAATCTTGTGAAACGACCAGTGATCTGATCTGATGAAAATTAATGTGATGTTGCAGAGCTAAGGTCGTACTTCTGATAAGAAAATTTAGTTTTTAAAATTTTTAATCTAAAATTTTATATTCTACAGTAAAATTCTAACTAGGACTGCATTTTTTATTACCTTTTTCCCGATGGTTAACATAGCTACCTCTCCTGCTCTACCACTACGGCACTACCGCACACAGCGCAGGTTACTACATTTCAGGCCGGGTCCAATGCAAGCGTTTGACAAAATTTAGGGATTATAAATGCAATCAATCTGGAATGGCCATCCTCCTAGTTAGTCCAAAGTGACTTGGTCAATCCCCAGTTATGACCTAACAAGGTGGATTATGAATCTGTACATGTAGCAAATTTCAAAAATTCGGTGAAATTTCATGAATTTGGGTAATTTTGAGGGAGACCAAAATAAAAATCCAAAATTTTGTATTACACATGTGCTTTTGTGAATATATAACTCTAGACTAGACTCATTTTTGTTTTGCTGTTTAAGTCGCATATTTTTCTACTGATCGAGATGTGTAATCATATTTTGTTTAGGTCTTAGAAAATCATATCTTCTGTTAAAGTCTCCAAATAAAATTTCGCTGGCTGAAAATTTTGGAATGTTGAAATTGAAAACCTTGCCTGTAGCTAGTCATGTATTGCCTGAAATTGCTATAGCAAAAATTTCAGGATTTTACATGCATATTTCCACCCACCAGTTTCTAGAGAAACAACCTTTACTCCTCACCCGTGTCTACCGACGTCGCTGTCAATTGGCATAGAGGTTCAAACACAAATCAATCACGACGGCAACCATTGACTGTCTAGGGTTAGGGTTAAGCTAGTCGCGGGTTCGTTCCTCCCTGATGAGGAATATATGCAGCGCTAGTAAGGGAGGGAGGGACACGTGTGCACGCACCTTGATGACCTCGGAGGGGCGGAATCCGCCGAGCCAGAGGAAGCAGCGCTCGGCGGGGCTCCTCCAGACGCCGGAGATGAGGTGGAAGACGTCGCCCTTGATGGCGCCCTCCTTGATGCCCACCATCTCGTCGTGGTGCGCCAGGCAGCTCTCCACGTACATCTGCAGTTCCCCCTCCGGCAGGTGCTGCTGCAGCGCCGCCCGCAGCTCGTACATCAGCCGGTAGTGCTCCTCCTGCCACCGCCCGTACTCCACGTCGAACATCGCCGCCTCTGGAATCCATAAATATATGTGGCCGACGTTAATCAGAAAAAGAAATATTTGCGGACTTATCAATCCAATGGAATGCGAGGAGAGGTGGTTTGATTAATTAGGTACCTGAGCTGAGGCCGTCGATGCCGCCGATGGGGACGCCTTTGCCGGCGACACCTTGGTCAGCGAGGATGCCGCTGTTGGGGAAGAAAACTCCCTGCAGAATACATATTTATGCAAAGATCAGTTAAAATTCAGCCTTCACCTTCAGGAAGCCAAGGGCTGAGACAATCACAAGATACAAGCACTACGTTTCAATTTTCTTTTTTCTCTCCTTTGTGGTTATTGTTAATCGGTTACTAATCATACCTGAGCTCTTGCAGTGTGCAGTTCTTGTTCGAGCTGAGCTAGCCTGATCCTGCTGGACTCCAGTTGCTGGATGTAAGCCTGTTGCAGCAAAGAGAAGTAAAATAATATAAATCTACGCTGACATTGGATGATGGGGATAAGAATTTGAACAATGTCAACTTTTTTTTTTTTAAAAAAGGAAACAATGTTAATCCTTTGACATTTTTTTTTCTCATCCTTTTTGTTCCAATCTTGGTGTAGGTCATCAGCTGTCGACTCGCTCACCTTCTTCCTTAGCCTGCTTTTCCTTGCAGCCTCCCTGTTCTGGGCCAGCCTTCTCAGTGTCTGCACACGTGTTCATTACAGCGTGATGCATAAACAGTAAACCAAGTTAGCTCAACAAATTAAACATTGATGACTAATAGTGTGTTCTTTCCAAGTAGTACGTAGAATCAGCAGTTAAATAATACTAGTCATCAATAATTGACACTTGAGAGTATCACACACACAATCCATTACTTTTGGGTCGCGTTCACTGGTCGACGTGCCTCTCCTGTGATCCTTCTATACATCAACAAGGAAAAAAAACCGAGAAAAAATTAATAAAACCATGGGAATTAAAACAGCTACACGTACATAATACATACAACGAAAATGATCAAATCGACAAAAAGAAAAGGCATCAATCGATTTAGTAGCCTTGTGTACTACCAAATTGGTATTCAAATGGGGAAGCACTGCAATACTAGTAGTTAACCACTCACCTTGGCCAGTGGCTTGACATCTTTGATCATCCCGGGTGCTGCCGGCTCAGCAGCGGCAGCGAAGGGTTGGTGCTGCAGGTGGTGGTGCTCCTGCTGCCTCCTGCTCCCCGCCAACTCCTCCATGGCCGCCTGCTGGTGCTGGCCGTGATGGTTATGGTCCGGTGACCTAGCAGGCTGCTTGGATCCCACCGGCGCCGGGGACAGGACTAAACTAATCTCCCCCTACCAATCGCATCAGAAATTAAAATCGGCCAGTTTGTTAAACAACCAAATAAGTTGCAATCAATCATCCATGGCAGCAGTTGTGCTGCGCATCAGAAAAGACATTGAGTGCTTGAACAAATCTGAGATACATGTTTGCTGTACCTTCGGCGACGGCTCCACATGCATGGGCTGGGAAGGGAAGATGTTGAGTGTCTCTGCATCCATGAACAAGACAAGGAACAAAGGCGAAGGCCTGGTGAGATGAGTCTGTCTGTGGCTCTACTTGCTTGCTAGCTAGAGAGTGGGAGGAGAGGAGGAGAGGGCATGTACTCTTCAGTCATCACACACATATATATGCCTACTGAACTCTGAGGAAGAGGCTGAAACGCTCTCTGGTGTCGCATGCAGCACGCAGCAGGAGTTGCAGTCTTCAATCATGGCGGTACTACTACTAGCTGGGCTGGCCGGCTGGGCAGTGTAGTACTAGCTAGTACAACGGGCAGTAGCACGAGAAAGCTGGAGATCGATACGGGACAGCAGGGATTCGCACAGGCAGCCACAGCTAAGGCGTGCCTGTACTGAAACCGAAAGATAGGTGGATAGGATCGAGTCAAACATGCATGCATGTACAGATGCTGTGCTTGGCTGCTTGCTTGCACCTGCGCTGCTGCACAGCATGCAGGAGAGAGAGAGGAAGAGAGAGAGGAGACGAGTAGCCTGTGTAGCCAGCCAGCCACTGGCGTACTGGCCGACGGAGATCATCCCGTCTGCGTGTACTGCTCTGCTGCGGGCACATGCAGCTCGATCGCGGGGAAATCATTGAGCAGTCCGTTACATGTCACAGTCCGACCGGCCGGAGGTAGGGGAGAGAGAGAGAGAGATGGAGAAGAGAAGATGCATGGGAAGAGAGAGAACGGAGAACAAGCAACAAGAGAAACAAAAGGCCAAAAAGCTAGAGAGAGGCTTGTGTTGGCTTCGTGCATGGACTTTGAGCTTGCAGCATGCATGTTCTTGCCGATTCCCTGGTGCCCTGGTCCGGTCCTCTCCAAACCGCGCTAGCTGCAGATTTGCAGCAGCACAGCATCCTGGTCAAATGGAGTACCTGAGAATCTGCTGCAGGCAGCAGGCCAGCCGTCCGGCCGGCCGTCCGGCCGTATCGCCGTTCTTGATCTCACATGCCTAGCCCCGGAAAAGGATGCGCGTTTCTGCACTCTACTGCGGCGTCTATCTGACTGCATCGATCGAGAGGACGATCGATATCGGATCGGAGGAATCCCTGCAGCTATTGCTATCCCATCCATCCACTACGAGTCTACGACACACATATGTTTCAGGGCCTAGCTAGTATGCCATTAGTGGAGTATTACCACTAATAAATGTAAATGCAGCCAAAAAAATGCTAGTAGTACTAATTAACTGCTGCTGCACTAGTCTACGAGTACGTTACTACTGCTGGTCAGTTGCATTTGACTTGCAGCAAAAACAAAAACACTACAGCTAGGCATGCAAAAACACGGCAACTGCACAGTTGAATTTCGGTCGGTCGTCAGAGAACGACGAAGTGCATGCGTATGCATGCGTACACACTTACGCCTTTGCTCTTGCTGCGTGCCGCCATGGCCATGGCTGCTGCCGTGATCCAGGTACATGAACAACGCCTGGTCCAGCTCCCCCAGATGGTCATACGCACCTGAAGCCTCCTTGCCGCTCCTGCTTGTGAAACAGAAATACATATGTAACGACACTGATGTGACACTGATATAGACGCTTTTGCACGGGATTTGAGGACTGAAACTCTGAAAGCAGGCCGGCACTACTACCATACATCATCATGAAATCATGCTGCTCTAAGCTTAGCCTATGTATGTGTGACTGCGTATGATGGCTATTTATCTCTGGTACGGTCCAACCTCTGCATGCAGGATGGGAACAGGAGAATAATATGGAATCTTCTCTAGCCTGTAGCATTTATCTGGCAGCTCAGAAAAATATGGCTACCTACACATGTAGTCTCGAAATTTCATGTGTGCAAGCAACCTATAGCCTCAATGCTCACTGAAAGAAATACAAAAGATAGAGGTAACAATATATCAGCTGCATGTACTAATTAATGTAAATCAATATTGTTTTTGTCCTTGTCCTCAAAACAATTACTGCCCAGCTTGGATCCGAGATCTAAAAGAAAGACTAGTTAGTGATTTGTTAATCAATTCACTGCAACTGAACCATCTGGTTCCAATAACTAATGAAAGCACCACCAGATTTTCAAATCGATGTTTGGTTTGGTAACCATCTGCCACACTTTTGTCCTCTTGGAAGTAGGAAGGAAGAACAAGACATCGAAGAATCAAATCCGGTATGTCATATCAAAGTCAGAAACAGTCTAACAATCACACTCAACTTATTTTTAAGGTATAGCAAGTCAGCAGATATATGGTTTTGTTGCATAATCAAGAACCAGACAAATTTTCATATAAAAAGAAAAAGGGGAAAACCAAAGAGGATCAGTGCAAAGGCAACAAGTAAATGAAAAATTCAGTGCAACAGAAAAGAGGAAAGGCGCAATAAATCAATTTTCCACCAGATAGCAATAGCATAGGCAAAATCATCATCATGCAAAATTCGGTGCCACATATCATCAGGTCGGCACCCTACCTTCCTATCTAGATAGAGGCGGCTGCTACTGCTAGTGGATTTGCCAAGTAGAAAGCAGAAAGCACAAGGAAAAAGAGGAAAGCAAGCTCAGAAGAACCGAAGTCAGTGAAAGAAAGACGATCAGAGAATCAACGACCAACCAGATCAAACCCAACCCGGCCGGCCAAAGAAACCAATCAATCGATCGATCGAGAATTCAAGAACAACACCCAAACAGCACAAACAGACTAGCTGAATCGAAGAAATTAACCAGCAAGGTACGGTGGAGTTAAAAGAAAAACATTACATGAAGCTCGCAGCGGCCGCATGCATGGAGGAGGAAGAGGACGAGGACGGAGGCTGGTGGTGGTGGTGGTGGTTCATCATCCCGAAGGAGATGTTCATCTCGTGCTGCTGCTCCTTGATGCTGCCGCCGCTCACCATGGACGGATGATGGACCGGTCGACGGATCGTCGCTGCAACTGCGGCAAGCACAGGCTGCTAGCTGCTGCGGCCGCAGGCGCACGCCGACACAAGCATACACACAGGCGGTGTACTACGTGTATATATCCCTGGGCCGGCTGCAGAGGACCTAGAAATACTGTTTGACTCTAGGGACCGTGGGGGGGGGCAGCAACACTAGCGAACCACCCCATGACCCAATCTTTCTAGGACGCTAGTCATTTGTGGCTGGTGACCCTTGGACCCTAGCTATGTAATACTAACAAACCACTAACTAGTTGTTGTTGTGTTCTAGTGCTCTTCCTTCTTTCCTTTCATCTCTCTGTCTTTCTCTCTCCTGTAGTAGTATCAGTCTCTCTCTTTCGATCAATCTAATGATATCCAAGCCCTTGCTGATGATATCTGTGGGTTCTCTTGTGCATATGTCTCTATGGGTTCCAGGGAGGGAGGTGCTGGGCCATTAATGGCGAAACAGACTTTCAGTTTGGCGCCATGCTCGCTGCATCTAATGAGGCGATGCAAACAGCCCCGGCTTTTCTCCTGTCTTCCTCGCCGTTCTTCGCTTTAGAGAGAGAGTGAGTGAGAGAGAGAGAGCAGGTGGAGAAGACGTTGCTGCCTTTAATTTCCTCTCTCCCTTTTGCACCGAGGCCCGGCTATTTCCCTTTATTTTGTTTCCCATCCGAGCATATCCGATCCAGTGCATTCTTCATTTTTTAAAAAGGAGTCTGGATTATTGGAATTTAGAAATACCAGAGAGCTCGCAGGCCACATAATACTGTAGAGGAAGAGAGATAGAGAGACAGGGAGGATAACATATTAATATCCTGCAAGATATAAGGCCATTTTTTTTAAAAAAGAAGGGGACGAGGTTCGTCCCATTTTTCACTTGGATCCCGTGGGGAAAGTCAGCCTGTGTTCTACGCAGCAAAACAGTTTTTCAGTCGGCGGTGGCACAAAAGGTGCCTGGAAAGCCAGTCTGAGAAGGCACCTAGCAAAAAAGGCAGCAAGGCACGGTGAGAAGTAAACGAGCAGGACAAGGCTGGTTAACTGATCGATCTCGGCAGCTTGACCGGATCGGCCTGCATGCCGACGAGCCACGACAAGAACCGCCCGCGCCTGGCCGGCCATGGTCCAGAACCGAGAGCCGCATGCACGCACGCGCCTCAGCAGGCTGGGAGAGAGATCGGTGGGGAGTTTGTATGTGAATGCTTCTGTTGTGTGCAGCGCTGTTGCTTTGCTGCTCTCGAGGCACGCATACCGTCCCACCTCCCAAGATCATCAGTCTGTGTCTGTTGAATGAACCCTCCCCCACCCACAAGGCCACAATTTACGTTACGTGGCCCATCCTCCCATTCTCGCCCCCACCGCTCCCAGATTCCCCACAAATTCCCTTCCTGCTAGAGCGCATGGAAGTGGGTACAGGTGCGGCATTTCACAAGAATTCAGCAAGGATCAGTTCAGTTCCCTCAAAATTCAGGGGATTCTCATGGTCCAGAGTAACCCTCCTCCTCCTTCAACATCTGAATCATCGTTCATCAAGAAGAAAAGAGAGTAAATTTTATTAATTACTATCATGTACTCCTACATGAACTTGGTACAAAGCGAATGGAGCCTTGCTTAAAGTATTTCCCTGGCATACATGGGGTGATCAGATAACTGATGGGCGAGAAGAGGAGGAATTCTGAAGGAATTTAATGGGCGCATGACATCTTGACATTGGCGATCTCGAGATGCCAACTCCTCTGCGACTATTCTTCGCCTTGGTGTAGAGAATTGAACCTTTCTCAGTCGGTTGAATGGCTTGCTGCCCATGTCAGCTGGAGACCTGCGAGAGTCCGTCAGTCTGGTGTGTGTGGTCACAAACAGGCTCTTCAACTTGCTGCCTGATGCCGAGGAAACAGAAAATTCGTCAGCTTGCTAGCTAGAAAATACCATTCACTACTAGAGAACAGACTTTAGAACGATGTCTCAATTTAGCATTAGCCTCGGCATTTTTTTTTGCCCACGACTAAAGGACCCTTTAGTCCCGGTTAGTATACTCACCGGGACTAAAGGTCCCTCGCCTAACGGTCGTCCATGGGCGGGGATCTTTAGTCCCGGTGGTATTACCAACCGGGACTAAAGGTAAACCTTTAGTCCCGGTTAGTAATACCAAATGGGCTAAAGGTTTTAGTCCCGGTTTGGGTGATATCCCAGAATAAATATTAATCTTTAGTCCCGGTTTGGCCACCTAACCGGGACTAATTATCTGAGCCTATACAACAGCTCATTTCTTCCTCCCCGAGCCCGAGCCATTCCATTCAAACTCATCGCCTCGTTTCTTGACTTGTTGTTGTTCTTGCTCTCTCCCCTCCATTGGTGTTGCTCTTCGATTTTGGAGGTAACAAACTTAATCCTCTTATGTTTTATCAAGAGCTTATCTCATTTTGCGATGTAGATGCATGTGTAACTTTATATGTTGAACTTTATTATGATTTTATATGTCATTTTTAGCTCAAAATCACATGATGATTTGCATATATGTTTGGATAAACAAAAGTTAAATTAGTTCATCAAAATCACGCCTCGCTTCGTCCTCGCCGAGCACATCGCCATCCTCGCCCCATGACTTACGTGATCTTAGAATTAATTTTTCCATGAAATGAAAAACTTTGAAAATAGTTAGAAAATTGTAGAAAATCCGTATTAGTTGAACTTGCGGACCGTGATCATCTCGGTGAGCATTTTCTCTCGCCGAAGCGGTAACGGACGTCAAAGAGGAGCTTTGATTCTACGAGGGAGAGCGGCAACGGTCATGGAAGACCGTGTTCCCTTTCTCGTAGAATCGGAGCTCTTCCTTGACCAAGTACGGTGCCGTCCGTGGAGAAAATGCTCACCGAGATGATCACGTAAGCAAGGTCAACTAGTACGGATGGTTATTTATTGAAACATGTTTTTGAGCTATAATTTGATGGATATTTGAAAATATGAAATTTACACTAGTTTGCAAAAATAAGTATAGAAAGTAGATGACAACTCATTATCGGATCCTCGGCCTCTCGTTCGGTTGCGAACGATCGAGGCCGAACTCTCCTCTCATTATCTCAAGCAAGTGTAAGCGTAAGATTGTGATGGAGTACCGAGTCAAGAGACAGGGACCCAACAAGGGTCGTGTTTTCTACAAGTGCCCGGATCGCGATGTGAGTTTCTTACGCATTTTATAATTATGGCTAATTGACCTGCTTTTCTTGAATATTTTTGACTAAATATTTTTGGCTTTAATTTCAGTGGGAGGGCAATGGATGCGATGGTTGGTACCGGGAGGAAGATTATGATACATACGTGCGAAATTTGGGTGCGCTTGAGGTAGCGGATCTTGGCGATGAGGCGAAGAGCCAGGGAGAAGCTTATTGATATTCAACAAAAGAATGATTTGTCTGCTTTTAGTTGCGTCTTTATCACAAAATAATTATGTTACTTGAAGTGCATTGTAGTTTTAGTTTGTTTAGTGATAGTTGGGATTGCTTACGTTGTAGCCAGTGCTTAGTTAATTAATCAACCGTGTGTGTGTCATTTATGTTGTGTAATAAAATACTTAATTATGTTCAAGGTTTTCATAATTTGTCGTATATACTGATTATGTCACGCCATTGGATGTACAATGCCGATCGCCATCTCCAAGACTTTATAGAGGGCTTGCACTATTTCTTAGGTGTGGCCGAGGCAAATAAGCGGGATGGTTTCATATCTTTGTCCATGTGCCCTATGTAAGAATTTAAAGGAATATTCAAGCTCAATGAGTCTTCATTCACATTTGCTTAAGTCGTGTTTTCATGTCAAACTATATATGTTGGACTAAGCATGGAGAAAGCGGGTCATGATGGAAGAAGGTGAAGGAGAAGATTTAGACATTGATGACATTATTGCTCAAGATGGTGCCTTTGATGATACTACAATGGGGGAGAGATGAAGAAGAGGTAGCGGTAGAAGATGATCTCGGTGATGCTCTTGGCGATGCCATTAAGTGATGCACAACAAGAATGGGAAAGTGAAAAGAGAAAGTTAAGTTGGAGCGCATGCTTGAGGATCATAGGAAGTTGCTATACCCGACGGTCAAGAGAGGCAAAAAAAAGTGGGTACAACACCGGAATTGCTACAATGGAAGGCAAAGAATGGTGTATCCGATAAGGCATTTGGGAATTTACTAAACCTCATAAAGAAGATGCTTCCGAAGCTAAATGAATTGCCCATCACTACGCACGAAGCAAAAAAGGTTATCCGCCCTTTGGGATTAAAAATCCGGAAGATACATGCATGTCCTAATGACTCGTATCCTCTACCATGGCAATGAATACGAGAATTTGGATGAATGCCCGGTATGTAAAAGCATCGCGGTATAAGATCAAAGCGCGATGATCCCGGTGACGCCGAGGGTGAACAACGTCCTAGAAAGAAAATCCTCGCCAAGGTTATGTGGTATGCTCCTATAATACCACGCTTAAAACGCTTGTTCAGAATAAAGACCACGCAGTTGTTGCGGTGGTATAAAGAAGACCGTAAGGTAGACAATATCTTTGAGACACCCAACCGATGGGTCCCAAAGGAGAGCGATAGATAGAGAATTTTCGAGTTTGCAAATGAGGTTAGAAACTTAAGGTTCGCCCTTTAAGTACAGATGGTATGAATCCTTTTGACAGCGTAGCAGAGCACTAGTCATAGCACTTGGCCGGTTACTCTATGTATCTACAACCTTCCTCCATGGTTATGCATGAAGCGGAAGTTCATTATGATGCCGATCCTCATCCAAGGTCCGAGGCAACCCGCAACGATATTGATGTATATCTGAAGCCATTAGTTGAAGAACTTCTAGTTTTATGGAACAAACCAGTGTATGCGTTCGGATGAGTACAAACAAGAACACTTTGACCTACGAGCAATGTTGTTCGTAGAACCATCAATGATTGGCCTGCTTTAAGTAATCTTTTCGGTCGACAAACAAAGGA